CCGTCACACCCACTCCCAGTATCTCCGTTGTGTACACCGCCTCTCTTGACCTCCCTGCACCGCTACACCTACTCCTTGTATCTCCTTGGTGCGCACAGCCTCTCCCGACCTCTCTGCACCGCCACACACACTCCCTGCATCTCCTTGGTGTACACCACCTCTTCCGACCTTACTGCGCCGCCGCTCCGACCTCTCTGCACCACCTCTCCCGGCCTCCCTGCTCTATTTCTCTCGACCTTCCTGCTCCGCCTCTACCGACCTCTCTGCACCGCCACATCCTCTCCCTGTTTCTCCGTGGTGCACACCGCCTGTCCCGACCTCACGGCAGCGCCTCTCCCGGCCTCCCTGCACCGCCACACCCACTCCCTGTATCTCCGTGGTGCGCACTTCTTCTCCAACCTCCCTGCACCGCCACACCTACTTCCTGTATCTCCTTCATGCACACTGCCTCTTCCGACCTTTCTGCACCTCCTCTCCCGACCTCCCTGCTCCATCTCTCCCGACCTTTTTGCTCCTCCTCTGCCGACCTCCCAGCACCACCAAACCCTCTCCCTGCATTTTCGTGGTGCACACCGTCTCACCCGCCCTCCCTGCTCTGCCTCTCCCGCCCTCCCTGCACCGCCATACCCACTCCTTGTATCTCCTTGGTGCACACCGCCTCTCACGACCTTCCTGCGCCACTGCTCCTACCTCACTTCACCTCCTCTCCGGACCTCTCTGCACCGTCACATCCACTCCCTGTATCTCCCGACCTCTCAGTACCACCTCTCCCGACCTCCCTGCTCCGTCTCTCCCGACCTCGCTGCTCCACCTCTCCCGACCTCCCTGCACCGCCACACCCATTCCATGTATCTCTGTGGTGCACACCGCATCTCCCGACATTCCTGCACCAGCTCTCCCGACCTCCCTTCACTACCACTGCCACTCCCTGTATCTCCTTGGTGCACACCGTCTCTCACGACCTTCCTGCGCCACTGCTCCTACCTCACTTCACCTCCTCTCCGGACCTCTCTGCACCGTCACATCCACTCCCTGTATCTCCCGACCTCTCTGTACCACCTCTCCCGACCTCCCTGCTCCGTCTCTCCCGACCTCGCTGCTCCACTTCTCTCGACCTCCCTGCACCGCCACACCCATTCCATGTATCTCTGTGGTGCACACCGCATCTCCCGACATTCCTGCACCAGCTCTCCCGACCTCCCTTCACTACCACTGCCACTCCCTGTATCTCCTTGGTGCACACCGCCTCACCCGACCTTCCTGCACTGCCGCTCCGACCTCTCTGCACCTTCTCTCCCGCCCTCCCTGCTCTGCCTCTCCCGCCCTCCCTGCACCGCCACACCCACTCCCTGTATCTCCGTGGTGAGCAGCTCTTCTCCGACCTCCCTGCACCGCCACACCTACTCCCTGTATCTCCTTCGTGCACACCACCTCTTCCGACCTTCCTGAGCCGCCGCTCCGACCTCTCTGCGCCTCCTCTCCCGACCTTCCTGCTCCATCTCTCCCGACCTTTTTTCTCCTCGTCTGCCGACCTCCCTGCACCGCCAAACCCTCTCCCTGTATTTTCGTGGTGCACATTGTCTCACCCGACCTCCATGCACCGCCTCTCCTGACCTCCCTGCACCACCACACCCACTCGCTGTATCTCTGTTGTGCACACTGCCTCTCCCGAACTCCCCGTACTGCCTATCCCACCCTCCCTGCTCTGCCTCTCCCGCCCTCCCTGCACCGCCACACCCACTCCATGTATCTCCATGGTGTGCACCTCTTCTCTGACCTCCCAACACCGCCACATCCACTCCCTGTATCTCTGTTGTGCAAACCGCCTCTCCCGACCTTCCTGCGCCGCCGCTCCGACCTCTCTGCACCTCCTCTCCCGACCTCCCTGCTCCATCTCTCCTGACCTTTTTGCTCCTCCTCTCCCGACCTCCCTGCACTGCCACACCCACTCCCGATATCTCTTTGGTGCACACCGCCTCTCTCGACCTCTCTGCACCGCCACACCCAACCTCCCTGCACCGCCACTCCCGACCTTGCACTGCCGCCGCTCTGACCTCTCTTTACCACCTCTCCCGACCTCCCTGCTCCGTCTCTCCCGACCTTCCTGCTCCACCTCTCCCGACCTCCCTGCACCGCAACACCCACTCCCTGTATCTCCGTAGTGCATACTGCCTCTCCCTACCTCGCAGCACCGCCTCTCCCGAACTCCCTGCACTGCCACACCCACTCCCTGCAACTCCTTGGTGCACACCACCTCTCCCGACCTTCCTGCACTGCAGCTCCGACCTCTCTGCACCTCCTCTTCCGACCTTTTCCTCTCCCGATCTCTCTGCACCACCTCTCCCGAACTCCCTGCACCGCCACACAGACTCACTGTATCTCCTTGGTGCACACCACCTCCCCGAACTCTTCTCCCGACCTCCATGCACCGCCACACCCTCCCTATAGCTCCGTAGTGCACACTGTCTCTCCCAACATCACTGCACCGCCACACCCACTTTCTGTATAATGAGGTACTCTCCGCCTTTCCCGACCTCGCTGCACTGCCTCTCCTGACTTCCCTTCACCCCACACCCTACTCCCTGTACCGCCTCTCCCGACCTCCCTGCACTGCCTTTCCCGGACTACCTGTACCACTTCTCCCGACCTCCCTGCACCGCCTATCCCGACCTCCCTGCACTGCCTCTCCCGACCTCCCTGCACCGCCACACCGACTCCCTGTATCTCTGTGGTGCACACCACCTCTCTCGTCCTCCCTACTCTGTCTCTCCCGACCTCCCTGCACCACCACACCCACTCGCTGTATCTCTGTGGTGCGCACCTCCTCTCCGACCTCCCAACAACGCCACATCCACTCCCTGTATCTCTGTTGTGCACACTGCCTCTCGACCTCCCCGTACTGCCTATCCCGCCCTCCCTGCTCCGCCTCTCCCGCCCTCCCTGCACCGCCACACCCACTCCATGTATCTCCATGGTGTGCACCTCTTCTCTGACCTCCCAACACCGCCACATCCACTCCACTCCCTGTATCTCTGTTGTGCAAACCGCCTCTCCCGACCTTCCTGCGCCGCCGCTCCAACCTCTCTGCACCTCCTCTCCCGACCTCCCTGCTCCATCTCTCCCGACCTTTTTGCTCCTCCTCTGCCGACCTCCCTGCACCGCCAAACCCTCTCCCTGTATCTCCGTGGGGCACACCGTCTCACCCGACCTCCCTGCACCGCCTCTCCTGACCTCCCTGCACCACCACATCCACTCCTTTCATCTCCTTGGTGCACACCGCCTCTCACGACCTTCCTGCTCCACCGCTCCTATCTCACTTCACCTCCTCTCCGGATCTCTCTGCACCATCACACCCACTCCCTGTATCTCCCGACCTCTCTGTACTACCTCTCCTGACCTCGCTGCTCCGTCTCTCCCGACCTCGCTGCTCCACCTCTCCCTACCTCCATGCACCGCCACACCCATTCCATGTATCTCTGTGGTGCACACCGCATCTCCCGACCTCTCTGTACCACCTCTCTCGACCTCTCTGCACTGCCACACCCAACCACCCTGCACCGCCTCCCCCAACCTTGCTCTGCCGCTGCTCCGATCTCTCTTTACCACCTCTCCCGTCCTCC